CCATGAAGTAGAGTTCTGATTCTTGAAAATTTAGACAGGTTGCCCTTGTTCTCGGGAAGCTTGCCTCCACCCATGTAGTCATTCGGCCACTCCTTATTAGGCGTCCACTATTGATGATGCCAGGTTCCTAAGTGCCGAAGATGCAGAGGGCATGTAGTACCCATCCCCACCCAGGTGAGTTCTCTGCCCAATTGAGGCAAACACCAGGTATAAGGTACCAGGGAACTGCAGGTTACAGGGCTTCGGGAATGCTCCAAGTACACAGGGCAGGAGCTGCCTCTGCCAAACCAAAACTTCAGAAAAGGACCAGAGGAGGAGGAGCAGGAGGAGGAGAGGAGCAGTGGTGAGGGGGTGCCACTGGGGCACAATGGGGGAACAAGCAGAAAGGGTTGGTTAGAATAACAGCTCATGAAACCCAGCAGGGTGGAATTTCAAATGGATGGAAGAGGAAGACAAAAGCAGGAAGGCAGGAAGGGAAGCATGAGGAGGGCTGTTGCAGGAGCACATGTGCCAAATGACAGAACATGCAGAGTTACATCACATGCAGGAAGGGAGGGGCTGCAAGACAGTCAAGACGCAGGGTCTAAGAACTTGCTTATAAGGTATGTGTGCACATGAGTTCATGTGTATGTGTGTGCATATGTGTGTGCGTTTGTATGCATGGGTATGTGTGTGTATGAAGATGTATATTTGTGTATGTATGAGTATATGCATATATTTGGGTATGTGTCTGAATGGCTCTGTGTGTTTCTCTCTGTGTCTCTGTCTCTGTGTCTCTATCTGTCTGTCTGTCTGTCTGTCTGTCTGTCTCTCTCTCTCTGTATGTGTGTGTGTGTGTGTGTGTGTGTACATGCGCCGAGACACCATGAATGTGGAGGTCAGAGGCTAACTCATGAGCTGGCTCTCTCCTTTTACCATCAGGTTGGCAGGAGTACCTTTACCTGCTGAGCCATTTCACGGGCCTAAGAGGTAGAATATTAAAAGAAAAACACCTTAGTCTCTATGTCCTTAGGATCTAATTCTTCTATCCTATGGGTGATGTCTATCAAGTCACCAAACACACTGCTTCTGAATAGTTGTTATCTGGTTCTATTGGCTTCAAATGTTGGGAGCCAAAGGAGACACCATTCTGTTGCCTCTCTTATCCATATAAAAGAATCTTCAGGCCTCTGAACAGTGTCTGGCACAGGAATCAGTACAAACTCATCTTCCTGTAGGTCAGCGGTTCTCAACCTTCCTAACACTGCAACCCTTTATACAGTTCCTCATGTTGTGGTGACCCTCAACCGTAAAATTACTTTCACTGCTACTTCATAACCGTAATTTTGCTACTGTTAGGAATCATAATGTAAATATCTGTGTTTGCCAATGGTCTTAGGAGACCCCTGTGAAAGAGTTGTGACCCACATGTTGAGAACCATGAGATAAGTGGGGAGCCAATTCTCTTTCCAGATGCTCAAACTGTTCATCTTTGACAATTCAGACTACTGCCTTAGGCATCCAGGTTACTTGTGGCAAGAAAGGAGCCCTTGATTTGGAACTGTGAGGCAACCACAAGTCCCTGCCATTGCCATACAATCTGTGCGTCCTGAACAAGTCATCTAACCTCTTGGAGTCTTAGTTTCCTCACATGTAAAATGAAGATGATATTGGCGTTGAACTTCATAGATTATATGTGCACTGAGAGAGGTTATGCAAGGTAAGCATTTTATAGTGTTTGCTGCAAGGTAAATAAAAAGAGCTAGTAGGACAAGAAAAATAGAAAGATAGGAAAGAGGAAGGAAGGCTAGTTGGTTGTTAATGGGTAAATAATAGATATATAATTAAGTGATGGATGGATGGATGAATGGATGAGCAGATAGATGGAGAGATGAATGTCCATATCCATAGAGATTGATATGTGGATGGATGGATGGATGGATATGAAGATGGGTGGATTATAGATATGCAGATGGATAGGTGGATGAATGGATGAGGAGATGAATATCCAGAGGGATAAATATGTGGATGAATGGATGGTTGGATGGATGGATAAATTATAGATATGCAGATTGATAGATGGATAACTTATAGATATGCAGATTGATGGATGATGGATAGACAGATAGATAAATAGATGGATATGTAGATAGGTGGGTGATAGACAGGTGGGCAGACAAATGAATATTCAGATAGATGGATGATGGATACATAGAAGAATAAAATATTCTAAAGATGGTACCTGAACCAAGCACTCTTTTTCAAACCAAATTTAATCCATTTTAAGAGCCTCTAAATTATTAATTGATTAGTGCTAAACATTGAGAGGCCACCTGGCCCTGGTCTCTACAGATGTCTATGGCTGACTGCCCCTGGGTTCTGAAGACTTGAGGTTCTTATTTTAGGTTCTGTCTAGACATCTCTCTAAATAGGAATTCCATGCTAATCTGCAGGTGTTGTTTCTGAACAGTTATTTCTAAACACTACAAAAGAAAAGATCCAGCAGGAAATAATACCAATCTGAGAGCAAGGTCTGTAGTGGGAAAAGTCTTGCCAATGTGTCTGTCCCTCCCATACCACCTGGTTCCTGATTAGAGGCTACCCAATTACTGACAAACCGGATAGTCACAGTGGGTATCATTAATTAAATGCATTTTGACTAATTAATTTACGAACTGGTAAATAGGGCCTCCCTTTGGTAGTTTGGAGGTGCAGCTACCAGGGCTGCTGATTAGAATGTGAAGCCAATCTGGCTAGATGGATGGGAACACTTCGGCAACGTTTGTCGTAAGGTTTACCAAATGGTATCCCACTGGTTTCTCTAACCCCCCCTTTAATCAGTAAGTATAAAATTCATCCAAGAGCATAAACTATATCTGACAATGGCATACATCAAATCCCAAACCGAGCATTCAAAATAAATTGTATCGAGATTTTTGTCATGAGCATTGATTTCTGCCTTTGAAGCCGGTTTCTGGGGCAGCCACATAAAAGTTAAATACAAGCTATCTATGGGTCCATTGGATTGCAGTAATTCATTAAGCCACCAGCAGCATTAATAAATCTAAGCATGGAGATTGCCTCCACAGACACCCTCAGCTTGGAAACATGCCACTAATCAGAGGAGGTGGCACACTAATCTCATCAGCACAAAGTCGCTTAGGAGGGTGGTGAAGGGCCGACTTCCAAGGGTAGGATTGTGCTCCACAGGCAGGATTAGATTGGAAGGAGAGAGGAGCCTCAGTGGAACCAGAGTCTTGGCCACTGACCAGCAGCAGCAGGTGGACCACTCAGGCCCTGTGCTATGCCAGGAGCTGGTCTACATCTTGACTGTGAGCCCATTGATGAGATGGCTGATGTGTCCCTCGCTGTAGTCACTTCCTGTGCTGGTTTGGGCTTTTGTTTCTTTGTTTGTTTTTGTCAGCTTGACACAAGCTAGTATCATCCAGGAAAAGTGAACCTCAATTGGAAAATACAGTCATCAAACTGGTCTATAGGCGCCAAGTCTGTGGGACGTTTGCTTGATTTATTGGTGTAGAAGAGGCCTTAGTTCACTGTAAGCGGTACCATCCCTAGGTAGGTGGTCCTAGTTCTGGCTTGTATTAAAAAACAAAAACAGGTTTAATGAGCCATGGGAGCAAGCCAGTAAGTAACATTCCTCCATGGCCTCTGCTTCAGTTCCTGCCTCCTGGCTCCTGCCCTGACTTCCCTCAATGACGGAGCCTGTAAGTCAGATAAACCCTTCCCTATTCCGAGCCACTTTGGGTAATGATGTTTATTACACTAACAAAGCCACCAACTAGGATGCCTATCACCTATCACCCAGTGGCGATCATGACCTTCGTATTCTTGAGGCAGATCTGCAAAGTGAGTTTGTATCCAGTGTCTCCTTTACTCCCATAGCCATGCTGGGAGGGGCAAGACCCAGCTTATTGTCCTTACACCTGTTTTGTAGAAGTGAAAAACTAAACTTTAAAAACAAAGTGATTGAGATTGGGGTCACTGCTAAGCAGTAAAGTGCTTGCACCCACATAACCCAGGCAAAGCATCGGGTATGGGAATCCCAGTGCTGGGGATGTGAAGATAGAAGGGTACCATGGGTTAGCAGCCAAACAGTCTAACCGGTCAGCAAGCTCCGGGGCAGCGAAAGCTCTGTCTCAAGAATAAGGGTCTATTGATAGAAAAGGACACCCACTGAGGACTCTGGCTTCCATATGCGTGTACATACCCATCCGCTTGCACACACACACATACACTGATACATACACAAGCACACATTATGCACATGTATACACAAGGACAGACAGAGAGAGAGAGAGAGAGAGAGAGAGAGAGGGAGAGAGAGAGAGAGAGAGAGAGAGAGAGAGAGAGAGAGAGAGAGAGAGAGAGAGAGAGAGAGAGAGAGAGAGAGAAGAGAGGGAGAGAAGTGTGATTAATTTGAGTCCCTCTGACTGATAGAACTGGAGCCTTGGGTAAGGCTCAAACTCTAAGTTCAAATTCTGCCCCTTGTGACCTAGCTCTGTGTCCTTGGGCAGGTCAGTTGTCTTCAGAACCCTTGTTTTCTCAGCTAAATAATGAGGAGTATAAAAGTATCCGTTCTCCACTTGCCAAGCCGTCTAACAAGGCCACACACATACAAGGACTTTATAGCGTGGCTGTGATACATATAGTCTTCAGATGGTGCCCGTATCAAACCCTGGGCAGCCATGGAAAGCAACTAGTGAGACGTTCAAATCCCAGTTCCCCCTAGAGACCAGAGGTGGAAGACGCCCTCGTCCTTGCTCCTGGCCTTGGCTTCCTCTTGCAGTCGCCCTTCCCAACTTTTCCCAAGAAGTGTCCTTGATGGTGTATATTAAAAGCAGCCGGGATATTTCCGTTCCTTTCAGCTGTGACTCATTATTTTAAATAGCGGCACAACGAGGAGAGGGGAAAAGAATTTAAATACACTGACTGACTGGATTTTTAGGGAAAGTGATAAGCAAGGAGGAAGAAAAGGCAATCAAGATAATTTACACGAAGCCTTGTGATCCTCGGGTCATCTATTTAGAGGGCCTGGAGATGGGGAAACGTCTTTTTTACATCCGGGATGATCATTCTACTGGACAGGAAAGAATCTCAGCGGATCAAGCTGTAGGCACAGAAGAGATTCACATCAATGGAGACCAAGCGTGCATGCTTCTTTGGGGGCGGGGTGGTCCGATTTGCAGTAGGTAAAGAACAGGGTGGAGTGATTAGTCGCTCATTCCAAGTCTGTGGATAGAAACGCACCTTCAGGATGTATTGTCACCTTCCAGTTACACCCCTGGGCCCATGAGGAACAAATGGTTTCTTGTCCATTCACTTACGCGAACTTGACAATGTCCCCTGAGATAGACAGGTAAGTGTTGTCATTCCCAGTCCAAATAGCATAATATATGCTTCCCAAGGCCATGGACAAGGCTTCATTTCCTCCCTCCCTCCCTCCCTCCCTCCCTCCCTCCCCCCCTGCCTTCCTTCCTTCCCGTTCTCTCTCCCCATGTCTCCTTCCCCCTTCATTTCTCTTCTTTTCTCCCTCATTCTTGCCTCCCCCACTTCTCCTCCCTGGAACTTGCCTAATAAACACATAAACACAGCCAGATGTCACAGCTGAGGCTCCATGGTTCCATGCTAACGACTGGATCATTCTCTCAGAGGCTGCGCTGCACAGAGCCCTAGCAAGCATCCAACTCTACCATCAGCATTCTTGAGTTCAAGTCCCAGAGCCGCCACTTGCTGCCTCTGTGACCCTTAGAATTTAGCTCCTAGAACCTAAGCCTGTGGCCGTGCTGATTACACCTTTCTCTTGAAGTCCTTTCAAGAGGCTGGAATGAGGGGATGGAAACACCTAGCACCATATCTAACACCTATTACTGTTCCGGAGCTGCTGTCCCCACTCTCTGGGGGAGAACACTCGGCACACATGGGCACACGTGTCTGAGCACTGCTGACATCCTTTGGGAAAGCCTCAACCATCCCATTCAGAATGAACGGGAACAAACTGAGCGGCTGGCCCACACATGGCACCAGGCGGGACTCCTTCAGCTCCCGGGCAGAGCTTCTCCTTTAATTTAATGCCGTGTTCTGGTATTAATCAGCACAGGGGGCCTGCTGTGAGGCTGCCCGCTGCCACTCAGAAGGGTCCATCCACTTCATTATTTTCTAGAACATCATAGAGGCCTTCTGCTGGATGGGGGTGGGGGAGAATCTACTCATTTAATTTCGGAATAAGGGATAATTAGTACCACTCACAATTCATAGCTACAGGAATCCGACACCTTTTTCATGGCATATTACTTAGGATTTCTGCAAATTCACTGATGGGCTCCAAGACTTCTACAATAATTAAATAGTTACACTTGGCTCTGCTTTCACCTTCACTGGGGAAGGCGTCATTAAAATATTCGGGCTTCAAAGACATGTATAATGATGAATCATGTGACTTATATTAGTGGGTATGGGGATAATAAGGTTAGGTGGCCAATAGCCATGGGTAGGACAAGGTCTGTGGTAGGTGAAGAATCCAGAGAAAAGGGACTCACACTGGAGATCACCTACTGTACACTAGATTTGTGGACCATAAAATCCTCCCAGCTACCCAATGAAGCCCCTAATCAGGGCCACCAGTAACCTCTGTGTTCCAGATCTGTGCACAGTCCTCAAATCACTCTGCTCGCTTGACCCCTCAGAGGTAGCAAACTCCCCTTCAATCGTTTTCTCTATTAGTTCTCAGAACTGTAACAAAAACACCTGGCCAAGGCAACTTAAGGTAGGGTTTGTGTTGCTTCACAGTTTAGGGGCTCAGTCCATTGTGGTCAGGAAAACGTGGAAGCTAAGGTAACCCTAGCTGTGGTGGCAGGAGCTTGAGTCGTGGTCACAGAGCATGCATAGTCTGGAGGAAGAGAGAAGTTCACGCCAGTGTTCAGCCTGCTTCCCTCTTCTCAGTTCATGCACCACAGCCCATGGGAGGGTGCTGAACACAAGGTAGGGGCTTGAGTTAAACCCTGCTGGAAGCATCCTCACGACACACCCAGACATGAGAAGTGTCCCCTTCCCTCTGTGGCTTGCAGGATGCCATACCTGATTCCTGATTATCTCTTCCTGTTCTCACATTGTTCCTCTCTGCCTCTTGCCCATGGCATGTTGATGTCTCAGGACCCCTCCCATTCCTTCAACATGCCATCCGGTCTCTACAGCCCACAGGGAGTGAGGGAGACCTCCTCAATAAAGTGCCCAGTTCATTTGCTTCAACTGCACAATGCTATGCTGATCAAAATCACGCATGCAACCCCCACCCCATGCAAGGCTTGGTCAACTCTTCTGACCTTAGCTTCGGTAGGGTAAGATTGATATGACTGAATGTGCTCGCTTCTAACTTTGATCCAGGGAGGGTGGGAAAGACAGAATACTTACTGTAGTGGTTTGATGAGGAATGTCCCCCATGGGCTCCTCTATTTGGACACTTGTTCCTCAGCTGGTGGTGCTGTTTGCGGAGGTTATAGAGCCTTGTTGAAGGAAGGGCATCACTGGTGGCGGGCTTTGAGTGTTTATAGCCTGGTCTTACTTCCTATTCTCTCTGTGATCAGCTAGCTTCCCTGCTGTGTCATGCCATCCCTTGCTTGGCCAGGAGTCCCCTTTCCCTCTGTTGTGTGCCCCCCACCCTTGGGCAGAAGCTCCTCCCTCCCCTCCCCTGCACAGCTCACCAGCCCTGTTCCCTGGGGCCCAGGTGAGGAACACATTCATGGATCCTTGTCAGTCAAAGTGACACCAGTGATCTGGTCTCAGTGGCTGTCCCAGGGTGAGACCAAGTCTTCCCAGGAACACATGAGGGAGAGGCTCTCTCCACCCCCGAACCAGCCAAAGCACAACTGTCTATGTTAGTTACTCTTCTTATTGACAAAATACCCTTTAAGAGACAACATGATGAAGGGAAAGGTTCTTTTTGACTCACCCATGAAGGGTCCAGTCCATCATGGCAGGGAAGTCATGGCAGCTGGAGTGTGAGGCAGCTGGTCACATGGCAACCACAGTCAGGAAGCAGAGAGAGAGGGATGCTGGTGCTCAGCTTGCTTTCTTCTTTTTAATTGGTCCAGGACCCCAGTCCATGAGATGGTGACTTCCACTTTTAGAGTAATTCTTCCCACTTCTCATCAACCTAATCTAGAAAACCCTTCACAGACATGCATAGAGGTTCATCTCCTACGTGGTCTAGCCCTGTCAAGTTGACAATCAATTGGTTAGCTAGACAACTGTGTGAGTCTGTTTGGTGCTGTGTGTTCCCAGTCCCTCTCGAGGCTTGGGCAATACAGAGGAGAGAAAACATTGAAGTTAGAACCCAGAGGCAATCAAGAGAAATCTGATGGCAATCCTAGAACTCTGGGAGCAGCTGAAGCCTTGTTCCCCAGCAGGCTAGACTGGTGTTTTTACAAGGAGAGGTTAAGACAGAGAACAGACAGAGGGACCAAGATGAGGGGACAGAGAGAAGAAGACATCGCGCTTGAGCCAAGAGAAGTAGCTTTTCCCATACTTTAACCTTCCAGCTTCCAGAACAATAAGAAAATGAGTTTCTGTGACTCCCCCACTCTTTGGTAGTCGGCTATGATATCTCTAGAACATTAGTGCATTCTTCCTTCCATATCTATAGTGCCCACTGGGATGTGTTCCAGGATCCCCAGGACCCTCAGGACCCCCACAGCTACCCAAATCCAAATCCCACCTATAAAATGGTATGAATTTGCATATAAATGAAACTGTCTTTCTGCATTTTAAAAAGTCATCTCTAGACCATCCACAATACCTAGTAGAGCCTAAATGCTATGTAAATAAACACAGGTATTGCCTGCAGACTTCTGGATGGTTTTCCACCCCCCCCTGGACATTTCCAAACCACAGCCGGTTGAGTCTGCAGATGCAGAATCCTTGGAAATAGATGTGTCAGATGCAGAGGGCTGACTATTCGGTCAGGACCACAAGGCTTCATCCACAGGCTGTTTTGTAATACCTTAGTGGCTTTCTGCGGCGTAACAGGTATAGATTCTCAGCGGCTTACAACAGCATTTATTCTTCAGGTTTGCAGATCTGACTGCTCGTAAGGTGCGGTGTCAGCAGGACTGGGTTTTGTTCCAAGCTCTAGGCCTGCCTCATAGTTTGTCACTAAGTCTTGTCTGTGGGTCAAAGCATGTCCCTGATGGACACTTGTTGCTTAGAAGATCACAGAACCCAGACACTACTCAAAGAGGCGTGAAGGTGTTCAAGGTCTATCATTGTTGAAAAACCAACTTAACCGGTCAAAGCAAGCTTTAAAGTCATGGCACAGAACATGGGAAGGTTAGGGACATGCACCAGACTGACTCCAGGGAGAAGTGGTGAAATCACAGGACAAGGGGCATCATTAGCCTGAGGGCTAGACCCAGAGCAATGATTCAATTGCTTGCAAAGAGGCAAAGGGAGTGAGGATGGAGACTCTAGACAATTCCTGAGGCAACGCATTGCACACCCCAACCCCTACACACGCACCATATCAGCCAAAGCGTCCTGTTGTCATGGGCCTGAGGGAAAGCAGGTTTCTCCTGTGCAGTTACTGCAGAGTCAGCTGGACCTCGGCACCTTCCCTGAACTGTGCACACCATCTCAAGGCACTGGCTGTGTGTTCAGAGGAACCAGAACTTTCCGGGAGAGGAAGTTCCGAGCTGACAAAAGGAGGTGAGGGAGCTGTTGCTTTGTTTTTTTAAGTTGCTGAGACAACCAAAGAAGAATTTTTTAAGGGTTTGGTTATTCATTTCTGGGAGAGTCTGTTGCCAAGTTGTGGAAAACGAGTGTGAGGTAAAAGTGAGGCCTCCGAGAGGAGACAGCACCTCCTATGAGTTTGGACGATTTTCACAAGGCAAGGATCAGAACCAGAGCTGGCTGGGGATTTCCAGGTGCCCGACACACAGATCCACAGATCAAATGGCACAGCTTAATGCACCTAGTGAATGTTTACCAGGCATCCCCCGAGGCCATATAAACACATAAACATATTATCCTAATAGTAACAGAAGTGTTGCCTTTCCATGTGTGGATCATGGAGACTGACCCTTCCCAGGGTCTCTGTCACTTCATTTAAAGGAGGGGTGTTGGGCAAAAGTGAACCAACTGTCAGGTCTCTTCTCTCTCCCTCCCTCCCCCCTCCCTCCCTCCCCCCTCCCTCCCTCCTTCCCTCTGTCCCTCCCTCCCTCCCTTCCTCCCTCCCTTCCCTCCCTCCCTCCCCTCCCTTCCTCCCTTCCTCCCTCCCTCCCTCCCTCTTTCCCTCCCTCTCTCTCCCTCTCCCTCTCCCTCTCCCTCTCCCTCTCCCTCTCCCTCTCCCTCTCCCTCTCCCTCTCCCTCTCCCTCTCCCTCTCCCTCTCTCTCTCTCTCTCTCTCTCTCTCTCTCTCTCTCTCTCTCTCTCTCTCTGTACCCCAGACTGGCCTCAAACTCCCTACATACCCAAGGGTAACTACTAGCCTCTACACCTTCTGTGCCCACCTTCTGAGGGCTAGGATTACAGATGTATGATATCACACCAGTTTGTATATGCTGGAAACAGAACCCAGGGTAGGCATCCTCTGTACCAAGGCAAGCACTCGGAACTGCATCCCTAACCTCAGACCTAGAATTCTAAAGGCTACAGCTGGGCAACGTTCTTGCTTACTTGACAACCACTGAAACCTGGAACCCATGTTTAAGAAGAGAGAGTGCAGGGTGTGGTGGCCTCTGCTGATAACCCTAGTGCTGGGGGGTAGAGACAGGCAAATCCATGGGGGCTTGCTGGCCAAGCAGTCCAGCCTACTCAGCGAGTCCCAGGCCAACAGATGAGCCTATCTCAAAAAACAAGGTGAACAGTTCCTTGGGAATGGCAGCTGGGGTCACATACTTGCTTATAAAACATAAACATGTCATCCTAATTGTATTGCCTCTCCCTTCTTGATCCTTTTTTATCATTTTTTATTTTAATTTTAAATAGCTTGTTTTACATGTCAATCCCAGTTCCCTCTCCCTCCCCTCCTCCCGCACTCCCCTTCCCCCCCACCCTCCCACCCTATTGCCAAATCCTTCCACATAGGGGATATCTAGAGTCTGTCATTTCACTCTGGGTAGGGTCCAGGCACTCCCCTAAGAGTCCAGGCTAAGAGAGCATCCCTCTTTGTGCTATAGGCACACGATGACTGTTTGTATTCCAGGGATAGACACTGATCCACAGCTCAGGGCCCCATAGGTTGCCAAGGCCTTCTCGCTGACACTCACATTTGGGGGGTCCAGATCAGTCCCATGCTGGCCTCTCCACTGTTGCTCTGGGGTCCAAGAGCTCTCCCCTGTGATTCTTTTTTTAATTAATTAATTCTTCTTTTTCTCCGCCCCCCATATGTATCACTCCCACAGTAGGAAAGGACAGTGAGGTCAACCTTTGACCCCCCCACATACATATACATACACATACACATACCACAAGTATACCTATGCTCTCTCTCTCTCTCACACACACACACATACACACACACACACACATACACAAACACACTTTTTAAAAAGACAGCTTGGGCTGGGAAGATGGCACAATGAATAAAAAGTTCACTATACAAGAGGAAGACTGCAGTTTGGATCTCCTGCACCCACATAAATGCCAGGGACCTTGTCTGTAATCATAGCACTTGGGGAGCAGAGACAGGTGGCCCCCAGAGTTAGCTGGTTAGCTAGACTAGCTGAGTCAACAAAATCTGTGTTCAAGCGGGAGACCCTGTCTCAACACATAAGGTAGAGAGTGACCAAGGAGGACCCTGAACATCAACCTCTGGCCTCGTGCGCATGAACACAATGAAAACTCCAAAAAGGAAAGATTCATACTGATGATGAAATTTAGTGAGAAACATAAAAGAGTTTATTCACTGTCCTGCCCAGAGACCTGTGAGTATTTGTTCTTTGAATTAAAACAATAATAATAGAACTTGGAGCCAGGTATGGTGTTGCAGGTCCGTAATCCCAGCATGGACAATGCTGGAGCAGGAGACTGACCATGAATGTGAAGTCAGCCTGGACTACACAGAGAGATCCTACCTCCCACCCCCAAGCAAGCAACAACACTAGAGCCTAATTTGCCACGGAGCCCTTGAGCCGAGAAGGTGGCAATCCTTCTGGCAGCTGGCATGATATACTTCCTGCCCTCAAACAGGGAAATTCTCTACTCTTTAGTCTCAAGGATGGAAACACGCCCATTGCTTTATCTTTGGAGGCAATTTAACACATGTGTTTAATCTTTAAAAAATTCACATGTGTACAATGTATTTTGAACAAGTTCACCATCTCTATTACTCTCTCTGTATGTGTGTGTGTGTACGCGAGTGCGTGCGTGTGCCCATGTGTGGTGTGTGTGTGTGTGTGTGTGTGCCTGTGTGTGTGTGTGTGTGTACCCATGCCCTTGCCTCTCCTGCTGAGCCCCTTTGAGTTCAGCATCACTTCTTCTCACAAAGATGCCCGAGGCTGGCTGAGACCCAGGACAGATCCATCTTTGGGGAAATATTTATGTTGACCCTTGAGTTTGATACCTCCTAACAAATGATTGGCTGAGTACCCACATCCATCTTTCTTTTCTTCCCCAAAGCTGATTAGAGGGCTC